GAGGGAACGGCCGGAGCTGTGTCACAAAAGGGTCGGGTTGGATCTCAGGGAAAGGTGCTTCCCCCAGAGGGTGGCCGGTGGTCACAGCACCGAGGCTGCCAGAGCTCCAGGAGGGTTTGGATGATCCCCTCAGGTGTGAGGATCACCTGAGGATCCACCTCTTGGGGATGGTGCTGTGCGGGACCAGGAGATGGACTTCATGATCCTTGTTCCAGCTCAGGATGTTCTGTGATTCTGCAACATCTCTACCCCAAAACCCACGGGTTGCACTTCTTTTGTAGCCGTGCCAAGAAAACCGAAAAGAAAGATCCCAAAGAAGGAAGGAAGAATCCCAAAGAATCAGAGAAATCTCCCAGTCCTTTGAGCTCTTCAGTCTCTTCTTCAGTCAATGGTTGTGTGTATGTGCAATCCCAAATAAAACCTCTTATTAAATATTTAAAATATTTGTCATTTAATATAATGTGGAAGATGAGACTGCTTTTCGTCTGGCTTAAAACCAGGGTAGGTTCTTGCAGCACAGTGACACTACCAGGTGGCTGAACTTGCCAGACTTCTCTGAATCATCACCTCAGATAACCAGATTTGTCAGGGGAATTTTGTAGTTGGTATAAAACCAATTTGTCCAAATCATAGGAGACAGAGGCGAGTTCTATTAGTTGCTAGAATATGAAAGGCTGAAGGGACTGAAGAATGTGTCTCTCCAGGCAGGTTTTCCAGGGGCAGCACATCAGCATGTTGGTCAGGTGATGCAGGGAGAGGTTTGCATTTCTGTCCAGCTTTGCAAATCTGGTTTTCACCATTGAAAAGGGGGGGAATTTCTAAGCCACCCTTTTTGTATGTTGTTATCATTGATTTGTTTCTGCACGTTGCCTTCAGATTTGAGTATGTCCCTGTCGTGCTCGTCACAAAGTACTTTGAAAAACTGAATTTGCAGGAATATGGTGAAAAAGAACATGAGGCCGAGCAGAACCAATGGAATTGGAATCGCTGCTCCAAGAGAAATTTCCTGAAGGAATAGCTCCAGTTTCTGGGTCTGCTTACCAGTGCAGAGCAGGGTGGCCAGAGAGGTTGAATCCTACCTGCAGTGATTTGATAACTACATAACTTCTGTCCAAAAACATGAAAGAAAAATAAAAGACTGAAGAAATTACTGAGGTCTTGTCTCCAGCCAAAGTGCAGCCTGGACGTGAGGAGCACTGATGTGACTGACCTTCCTGAGAAAATCACTGTTACAGAACACAGAAATATCCCAGCCAGAATACAGAATACTCCCAATTTGAATTGTAAAAATATGACCATTTAAGTAAAACACATTCAGCTTTTTTTTTTTTTTCACCTCATTTTACCATGTCCCCTTATCTCTGTAACTGTCTCAGCAGGTTGCCACAAGTAACATGAACACAGCTTAAGGCATTCTTTCAAACACCTCAAAAAAAATAAAAAGGGGGGGGGTGGAAGAAAAAGGCAGGTTTCACTGCCTCCTACCAGCCTCTGGAACACTTCGAGTTGCAAGACATTATTTTTCAGACCTTCTGAGCCAATCTTTCATGTCTGAAAAGTTGTGATTCACAAACACCTCACTACTTCAAAGAGTTAACAGGTCACAGATTTTTTTTTTTTCTCCCCCTTCTTGCTTCAGGAGACTAGATAATAAATTCAGCATGTGAACACTGGCTCCTAAGGGTGATCCTTTCAAGTGTTCCAGCACTGCATATCCAGCGAGGAAGCAGGGCCAGCTGACGAGCTCAGTCATTATCCTGCTGCATGGGAAAGCAGAGGTGGGAAAATTTGCTCAGAAAAAAAAATCTCACTTTTCCTGAGGCGACTGTTTTTGTGCAAAACACGAGTCATTTCGGGGCCAAGCAGCATTTTGGTGGCAGCGAATGTTACACCAACCTCACGGGGTTTGCCGTGAAACAAGAGTTAATATTAAACTGTGTTTGGTATCTCAGCAACCGTCCCGGACGTCCCGATCCCAGAGAGGGATCCACACGACATTTCCAAACTCACTGGTTCCTGCCAGCTGGTTCATGGATGTGTTAGAAGAAATTAAGGATATCTTGGCCTTGTCATTCAAGGATCCCACTTTAACATGTTGGGAACCAAAACACAGCACACGTTGTACCAATGAAATACCCACTCCAGTTGCCAGCATGAATTTGTCTGTCTCTGCATTAGAGAATTAAACTGCTGACGAGTACAAAGTATTAAATACTTAATAATAGCTGCCTCCATCTCTCCTTAAAAGTAGGAAGCGTAAGGACAAATTATATCAGTCATACTATTAAAATATTCATATGCAGCCTTCAAAAAAAAAAAGAAAAAAGATAATTAGAGTATGTTCAGGGTTGTTTAATGGCAGCTGTAGCATCTTAAAAGTAGTTTGATCTTAATGTTAAATGGTTCTTTTAAAAGTTCTACAGTAGCTTGCATGCTGTGTAACTTACTTATGCTTTTAATCAGAGAAAAGGCTTTTATACTGCAGAGGGAACCATGTATATGACTCATGACAACTCATTATATGTGCACAACAAGTATTTCTCTATCACTTTCTAGTATGTTGAAATCATAATTACTTTTTTCTGAATGGAAATACACATATAAGCACAAAACTTGTCAGATTGGATCATACCAGTGAGCTGCCTGTATCATAAATCAAATTAAAAGTACAATTTACTTCAAAGCTGCTTAATGACCAGAGATCAGTGCTGTTGCTCAATAAAAAAAAAAAAAAAAAAAGATGAAGCAGTTACATTGTGTAATATTGAAACAGTGGTAAAAATTAACAGTTGTTTAAAACAACAGTTTCAGGTGAAGTTAGAATCTCAAAAAATCGAAATGGTCTTAGTAACTTTTGAATTTCTTTTAAAATATTAAAAAAAAATGCTTTACGTGATGATATTGACATTTAAATCATGGTTGGATATTTGGCTTCTAAAGTAATTTGGAAATCTCAGTCTTTCTACTTACATAAATTCTGGAAAATCCCAGGCCGTTGACCCTCTGCCTATTCATAATTAAAGGTCCACTCCCTGTCACAGGGGAGTGTTAATGGAATCAGAACCCAGGTAATTACCAATGATTAAGGCCTTTCAGTGTAAATCAGTCCAGAGCTAAAGGATTTAATTGATGATAAGGTAATATTAAATAGGAACACGCTAGTGGCTGAAAATCACTTTATTGTAAAGCGACTGCTATTGAGGAAGTCATTTACAGTTGTATAAATTTTGGAAATATCAAAGAGAAGCAGCATTGCAGGGATGTGGAAGAAGGCAGAGAAGAGAGAGTGGAGGTTAATGGCTGAAATAATGTGTCATAGCTTGTGGAAGAGGCTGGTGGGGATTGTGGGAGGGAAAAGGTGAGACTGTATTCCTGGAGTCTGGAGTTCACCTGGAAGTTTACACTTTCCTCTCGTATGTGAAAGGCTCTGTCTCAGTAAGGCAGAAATTTAGTACTGTATTATTTCTCTAATTCATGCTTCATCTTCACATGGTTTCATGTCAGATGGGTCCTTCTTCACGAGAGTTGAAAAAAAGCCACGTTCTGTTGGAAACAAGAACTTGGGTTAAATTCTTGGAACACGCCTGAAAACAACTCTTTGCATTGTAGTAAAACATCTTGAAGAAGTGCTGATTGCAATGAAAGCTAAGCTACTTGCATCAGAAGCCCTGCCAAACGCGAGGGAAGATGTTTCCATGGGGGGTAGTCTGTGCTTTTCCTCCACTTTCAAATGAAAATAAAACTTACAAGGAAAATTCTGTGCAAGGAATGTTGAGAAAACAAACGCAAAACATTCCCTTTTCTAACAAACATGGGTGTTGGCTGTTTATTTCTTCTAAAAGCCTGTGTGCCTGTGAAGCAGTTCCTCCAGCATCAATTCCTCACCACAGCTATATCAGCTGCTTTTTGTCACTCTTGGTCCAAAGTGTGT